AAAGAAAAGTAACGATTTAAAAATACTTGGTAAAATTACAAATCCTCAAAAAATTACTTAAGTACTGTAACAAAGTAAATGTACTTTGTTACTATAAAGCTCTGGTTTTAAATGACAAACCAGAGCTCGTTGATAGAGGAGAATCAAAAAATGTCTGAAACTGAAAATGATGATGGAGACAACAGCGCTGCTGCATGGAAGGAGAACCTCAGCTTTAGCCTGTTGGCTTTACTGTTGGCTCCCGAGCTAATTTACTAAACATCACGTTCGATTGTTTCAGCTCATACATGGTGCAGAATCACATAGAAACCTTTTAGCCTTTGTCTCAACAGCAACCTCCATCATCATCATCATCATACCCAGGATGCATTGCATCAGTGACAAAGTGACGATGTGTTTAAAGGGGACGTATTATGTAAAATTCACTTTTTAAAGTTTTTTTTACTCAACTTTGGGTATGTGCTTCTTAAGACCAAAAAAATGCACCCAGGAGCATATTTACTGTAAGTAAATGAATTATTAATGAAAATAATGACAAGTTTTATACTTCCATCATTTTGTGATGTCACAAGCCGTACGACAACCCACCAGAACCTGTGTTCAGCCCCTTACCTAGCAACCCCCGGGTGAGGCTCCTCCTCCTCAGTATAAAAAGCCGTCAAGGTTGTTGTTGTGTAATGTGCAGCTTATATCACAACAAGCCTCCAATAGGGCAATGGGTAGAGTGTTGGACCAGAGAGTGGGAGACCAGGGTTCGAGACCGGCACGGATACAATTTAATTATTTATTTTCATTCGTTATGAACACGTTTTCTCATGTCCCTCTATTGTTTAGCTTATTAAAGCCTTGTTAAAGCCTATTTGTTTGAGTTTCTGAGGTATTTTGACCGCTGCTGCTCCCTGCTCTGGTAACAGCATGCAGAGTGAGCGCAGAGCAGAGGAGGGGGAGGAAAAAAAGAAGCTGACCACGACTCTGCCTCTGGGTCTCATAGGGTTGTACAACGGAGCTTCTGCTATTATTAGCCATGCTAATGTAAACGCTGGCGTTGGAGGGCGGAGTCAACAGATTTTTGGAGGGCGTTACCAACAGAGCTCATTAACATAAACAGCTCTTCTGAACAGAAGTCAGAGCAGGCAGAACTAGAAAATGGGAAATTTTATTATCTGAGAATTATTTTGWGCATTAAATTGAATGAACATGGTCTGGATAGCCCACAGACATACCATAAACATTTCTAGGACCCATAATTGGTCTCCTTTAAGTGAAAATGATAATAAACATTTACAGTTTATTAGGTGTTAAYGATTTGTCACACGTGTCACAAGCTGTGGTCGAAGCGTGTTAAAGCTGACATGTGACAGCTGTTAAACTGTTTCCTCTCAGGTCGGTCAGTCTGTCGTCTCTCTTCAGCCTCCTAAAGTCAGGCCTGTGTCCGTACTTCTACATCTGCTCCTATCAGGTACGGCTGATGTTTACCTGAACACCTCACAGTCACTCCTCCTGTCAGCTGAACTTTAGCTGTGCTTCAGTTCACAGTGCTGTTCAGGGCAGCGGGTCTGGGCGGGTCGGGTCACATCACGGCGTTAGTTTCTCCCACAACTCGAGGTCTCAGAGAGGCCATGAGGACTGAGGGTAAGGCTTCTGAGTGGTCTCATTCCAAACACGTGTTGTTGTCTTCACTGGCTCTGCTCGTGTGCAGGTGTGGAGTTCTGCCTCCCTCTGCTGGAGAGTCGCAGGAAGAGCAGGGAGCAGCTGGGAGCTGAAGAACAGGAGGAGGAGGAAGAAACAACGTAAGCTTTTTATTTGGCTGCCACGTGTCTGAATGTGCTGCTTTAAGCTTCTCACAGGTGACATGTTTAMATGTAGATGGTGTGATGAGGAAGACGAGGAGGACAGTGGAGATAAAGGGGACAGCTTCTCGTGGCTGAAGGAGATGGGACTTCAGGACAAAATCAGGAAACCAGACGGCATCAGCATACAGCTGTATCCTAATCTAATCCCACTTCATTCTGTCAGAACACAGAAACACAACGATTTAAAGATCCTTGACTGRGTTTGTCAGGCAGAAGGAGGCTCAGACCACGTCTGTGGACCACAAACCAGAGTCTGTGGTGTGTGTGGAGGGAGCACACACCTTCAACCTGGTCAACTTCCTCATCAGCTGCAAGAGCCTGGTGGCTGCTGCAGGCTCCCAGACTGGTTTACCACCAACACTGCTGGCTCCCACTGCCTTCAGAGGGGCCACCATGAACACACTGAAGGTACGACTAACACATCACAATCAGCAGAAACAACTACACAACATGCAGAGAATATATAACACAAACAACTGCACAACATGCAGAGATTGTATAACACAAACAACTACAACTACACAACATGTATAGATTATATAACACAAACAACTACAAAACATGCAGAAATTATATAACACAAACAACTACAACTACACAACATGTATAGATTATATAACACAAACAACTACACAACATGCAGAAATTATATAACACAAACAACTACAACTACACAACATGTATAGATTATATAACACAAACAACTACACAACATGCAGAAATTATATAACACAAACAACTACAACTACACAACATGTATAGATTATATAACACAAAC